GGTGCTTGGGCACCGGCCAGCACCTAGGCTGTTGCTGGCCCCGAAGGCCCCACCCGTTCTCGGCTGTGACAGGAACTGTGCCTTACGGATAGGAACACAGAAATCTTGACACTTAGCACATCTGAAGGACTTGCGTCCTCTGGAGATCATTCAGGCCTTTTACTCCCAGAGCCTGTAGTGCAAGGATGAGCATTTCCATTTTGTTTTTATTTGCTTGGATTTTGATAGCTTATATTTATCTTTCCAACTTATTTGCTTTCTGTTTACACTGCTATCAACAGAGCAGTGCTGCTGTGTCCAAGCAATATCGGAAATGTGATTCTTTTCCTCTGGGTCTTTTCTCTTTGTGAGTTATTTGGAATTAAAGGGGGGAGGAAGCTCCGACTGGGAACAGTGGATATTTACTTGTTGCCAGCCAGCTCTCTGACCCGCTGAAGTCCCAGCCCCACATCTGTGGTCCACAAGGGGCTCCTGGAAGCGGAGCAGCTGCCCCCTGGGCACTGCTGCCTGGCTCAAACAGGCTGTTCATGTGCTCCCCATGGCCAAGCTCTCCCCTCTGGCCTACTGTTAGTCCCCGCAAGGCAAAAATTTGAAGTTACTTATTTGACTACTAGGGTTTCTGTTTGGTTCTATTTTCCAGATTGTTGTTGTCTTCCACACCAAATAGAAGTTGCAAAACACAGGAAATAATTTGTGTTAGCACCTAATATAATCCTGGGAACATGGCAGAAACAGGAAAAACACTTATTGAAAGAATGAGAGATTTCAAAAAGCCCAAAGGCTGTGAATCCTCAAAATTAAATAGAAAAACAGGGAAGAAGTAGTAGAGGGAAAGGAAAAGATTACGAAGGAATGAAGGAAAAAAGAAGTCTTAAAAGATATTCAAGAATGAAATTATTATATGGTAAGAATACATTTTTTATTCTGTAGACTGAACATGAACGCTGGGACATACTCTAGCGTTAGGGAGTTCCCCTGTACTTCCAGCTATCTCTATGCTCACTCAGAGGGAAGGAACTCCTGAAAACAAAGCTGCTGAGATCCAGTGAAGTGGAAGAATAAAGTCTCCCTTCTGGAAAACTGTTGAAGGCAAATGCTTTTCTTTCTAGAACAATGGAGAATAACCCTGCCCAAATGTAGGGAGGAAAAAGAAAGGGACAAACAAAATTCAGACCTGGACCTCTAAATGCTATTTCCAGGACCCTACAGATGTGAGCTTCGGGTGCCATGTTTCTTGTGAGTTAAATGTGCTTACTAAGTGCTAAGGAAGTGGAAATAAAGAAGCGAAACATTAGAACATTCAATGAAGGCCTCAAAATGGGCCACAGAACAATAAGTCTTCCACTACCCACGCACCACACCTTGCAGTCACATCCCATCACCAACTTGCCATTTCTCATTAAGAGCAGTGGGAAGCCAAAGAATGCTTTGGTGCTAAGAGGATCAGCTCCAGGTGAACTCAAATCTCAACTGAACCTTCTATGCCTGAGGCCAACCTTCCTCTTACCTCCTTGAACTCTTTCACAGTCTTGAAATATAGCCTCTGTTTTTCTAACAATTCCAAGTACTGGTCATTCAACTGGTCTCTTCTCATTTTGTTTTCTTGCTTCTTCTTTTCCATCTGTTGAAACATTTAGAAAGGCATATCTGACCAAGAACTGCTGGCTATATCCAAAGTGCAACTATTAGTAATGTTTTCATGGATTTCTTCCTAATATTTTCATTCTGCACATCAATTTTGAGAATGGTGTATTTTCTTGCATGACACTGCACTGAGGCTCTTTAATTTATTCAGTAATGCTCCTATTATCAGACCATAACTGTTCTATTTATTTTTTTTTTATGACAAGCAGTTTCATAATGAACAGGTTGGTGGTTCTCAAGCACAGGCTATTTGCCTGCCAAGTCACTTGACAATGTCAGGAGAGTCTAGCCTGGTACAGCTGTGAGGAGGGACAGCTCCTGGTGTCTTCTGTAGAGCCCAATGATGCTGCTAAATAAACTACATGCCCAGAACAGCTCTGTACAAGGAATTATCTGCTCCAAAATGTTATCTGTATTGAGGTTAAGAAACTCTAAAAAATAACTGAGGTTATACTATGAAATTATGTATCCATTTTTCATTTAACAAAATTATTTCCACTATAAACTTTCTGTAATTATAATTTAAAGAAGATAACAAATTTTCCTGATTATCATGGCTTACTTATCCATTTTTTTTTCCCTCTGAGTGGGCAATTTAGATTGATTGTCTCCAGGATTTTGATATCACAAATAAAGCGACTCTCTTTTCCTATAGTACCTAGAAATGTGCTCATTTAACAAATATGAATTGAACACCCTAGGTTCTAAAAGTGATGGTGATAAGGCCAGGCCACTGCTCCTAGGAGCATGTTCTGGAGAAACTGGCACTCACTATACGCCCCACACCAAGAACGACACTTCATCCCCAACAGTGATCAGACTGTGCAGACAATGGACAAGGTGAACTGACAGAGAGGAAGGCAGGGACATGACTCCTTCAGACTGGACGGGCAGGGAGGGTTCTCTGAAGAGGTGGCAGTTGGCCAGAATTGGTGGTGGGATGTGATTTATCTGCAGAAGGTCAGTTACAGCATTGCCCTGTTGTCAGAAGGTGAGGGCAGAGTCGGGGCTGAGTGGGTACCTGGCTCAAGGCAGGTGCTTCCGGCAGTACAGTGAAATCATAAGCATGACCTTACTGTGGCCTCACAGGTCTCTGCTGCCTAAATATTGTTTTTGCAGTACACTTTAGAAGGGATGTCACAGCAAGCACAAGGTTGTGCTTTAAACACAATTTTGTGTTTAAAGTTATTTAAACACCAGTTAAAATTGGAAATAGTCCCCCCTCGGACCACACCTTGTGCGTCTGTTAATCAAAAGGTGAGCTGCAATCTAGGGGAGGGGTTTCGGTGTCCGTAAGGCCTTTCCCAATCTTGTTCAAAGGAGAGCCCAGCCCTAATGGGGATGTGTCTGGTTCAATGTTGACCTTGTGCCCAGCCGTGAAGTCCACTGGGGATTCTGTGTCCTCCTTTCACAGACCTATCTGCACAGGGACACCTGCCCAGAGTATAAGCTGAGGGCTCGAGCTTCCTGGTAACTGCCTTGTGTCTAGGTCTCCCCGAATAGGAGGCTGCTCTGCAGCCTGGAGTTAGTGACCCCCTCCACCCCATTCTGCAGGGACTAGGAACACATTCCCAGACTCAGCAGGAGAGGCCTGCTCTTCCCGGGGCCTTGTATAGTACCAGTATGAAATTTTAGTCATGTTAGAGAAAAGAATCCATCTGACCTTCATTCGACTTTGCTTAATTCCTTCTACAATCTGTTCCATCTGACGTAAAAACTGATCCCGGGCAGCAGGGGAGGCCATGGCTCTGAAAGAAAAAACCAGCAGAGGAAAGACCAGCACACAGCGTTGTGAGAAGAGCGAGGCACAGAGGACATCCCAAGAGGCAAACAGGTCTTTACAAAGCAGTGGAGCCTTACGGTCCCCTGAAATCCCAGGCAGGTAAGAATTCTGAACTTCAAGAAAGGCTGACAACTGGCTTAGGCCTAGAATTGACTAACTGTATATTAATCTTTTTTGAATTTTAATCTTTTCCCCATTTTCCTACCATTTTTAAAAGGTATATATTTTCTAAAAGCAAAATAAAATCTGACTACTCTTAAAAAACATTTTCTGCTTTGAATGATAGTACATACTGCTTTAAAAACAAATTCCGTTTAGTATTTAAAAATCTGAGAATTTGGAGAAACTGGAAGACAATCTTATATTTTCCTAAAAACCAGGACTGGGCAGTTTCTAGAAGCGGGGCTGAATGAGTGGACTCCCTGACATCCTAACACATCTCCCTCCACTCCCAGTTCTGCAGGGGGAGTGACAGCAGAGGACTAGAGCTCAAGAGTGTGAGGACTGAGCATTCTTCCAAAGGATAATCTAACGCAGAGCAGAATTCACCACAAAACATTCATGATGCAGACTCCCAATTATTGGAGGATAAAGATGAAAGCACCATTTTATAGAAATGTCACAAGGTCATAAGTCACTAATTGAATCTGAATCGTATCAGGGAGCTGTGGGGGTTTTGTTTGTTTTTAATTAGGAAGGAAGCTTAAAATTTAGAGCCTGTAATCCATTAAGATCTTAGTCATTGGTCACCTGCCAGAGGACAGTTGACATTTTTGCTGGAAAGGAAGCTTGTGGCCGTAAACACAAGGAGAGGGCTGGTACTGCCTGCATGGTGGGTAGGCCAGTGAGCAAGTCTAGGGCCTGAAAGGAGTGGGGTACAGCAATGCCTCAAAACTCCCAAGCTTTTAAATTCATATCTGAAGAAAGCAGTTTGGAAGATGCATATTAATGTAAGAACAAAATGTCCTGTAAGATATTAAAGATCTTTAAAATAATTTTATAGATTTCACCTGGAAAATCTGTATATACTCAAAACAAAGGGCATGAATATGTAACCTCAGCAAGAGAAAAGTAATATACAAAGAGACTATAGTAGCTTGGCAGAGCCACAGTCCTTGAAAATTAACTTTCTTGGTGCTCTAAAATTCACTCCAATAGTCACTGTGCTTTTGCAAGAGTGCAAGGCCCATGGAGGACAAGATACAGCTGTACTTGCAGTGGGGGTGGAGGTGCCTGACATGCCCAGCATGCAGTCAGTCCTGCCAGGCCCCACACTAAGTACGGAGGTGGGTTGGACCTAAGGGACAGAATACATCAAGGTACTGACAGCCAGCCAGGAGGACTGACAGTACTTACTGTGAGAAGTTCTCATGGATTGAGTTCAGCAGACTAATCTGGGGAAGAAAGAAAAACAAAAAAGTAAGTAAAAGATTGAAAGGTCCCTTTGCTACCTAAACCACTCAAAATTTACCTTCTAAAAGGAGCATACCCTGTCTGTGTAGATGAATATTAACATGAAAGAACAAAGCAAAACAAAACAAAAGGCAACATGTTCTTAGTCCCATAGTTTTCCCCTAAGAATCTACTTCTGATCAGTCATGGCACTTAGGAATGGGGGAAAAGGGCTCCTTTAGGGATCCAAACCCTGAATGAGAAGATTCTAGGCTCTTGTGGAAAGCTGCTACCACAGACATTTCTATCTTGCCAAACACTGCACTTTATTTTCAGAGCCATCAGCTTAGCAGAGGGTGAGGTGGACGAGGAGCCAAGAACATCATGCCCATTCTACCCCTTCCCACAGAAGATTTCTGCCAAAGTGGCCAGTGGCTGGGCAGCCCTGAGAACCTCCCCAGGAAGGCATCAGTCCAGGTCTCCACCTTAATAGCACCCATCTTAGCCTGCCTCAGTGTTTCAGAGTAGGCAGGGTTCCAAGTTGGGAATTTATAAACCTAGGTCTTCTTTTGGGCTGGATCACTACTTTGCCTTGTAAGCCTAAGGCCTCTATACTTGGACCTCAGACTGTAAAAGGGAAATAATACTGTTCTCTTTGTGACTCTAAAGATATGTTCAAAAGTTGAAATATTACCAGGATAAGTGGAATTGGAAAAAATGTACAATTTATTCAAGTGTAAAGTTCTATGTTAATATGGTTTAGAATTTAAAGGCATCTGTTCTACCGTACACTACTAGTTTTTAAAAGAATGCAATGACTTTAAATGATGCTGATGAAGGATGGTGGATAAGTTGGCAGGTCTTCTACTTCCCAGGCAGGAAGACCCCAAGACTAGCACAGGGAACAGAACTATCCCCACCCCAGTCTGATTTATTTATTTATTTTAAAGACTTATTATTTATGCATACAAGAACTGGGGTACAGGCCAGAGATGCAGGGGTGTGACAGAGACAAAGTGGGACGCAGAACAGATTGACTGAGACACACTGCTGAGGGGAGCAGTGGGCGAGACAGGCGAAGTCTGCTGTGTCATGTGGGTCATCTCCTTGGCAGGGGATCAAACGTGCTGCAATGGCTGCAGATTGCTTCATAGTGCTGTACTTTAACCTGTTGTGCCACCAGGGAGGGCCCCAATTCTGAATTAAATCCCACCAAATACATTCAACTCACTTATCAAATTACCCTTAAGTGTTCATCACTACCTAAAGCTCAGGATATAGAAAAAACAGAATTCAACCCTCCTTCTCTAAGGAAAGAGATTTCTCTGGTTTGACTGACAATAGGTAATAAAGGTGACAATAACTACGGATGCCTCTATTTGGGTTCAGGTATAAGATACATCTGTAATATCACTCAATATTGTTCTTATTAAAGTGGTAGGTATGCAGTTTGCATGGTGATAATATAAAACCAATTCCGTCAACCTCAAGGTGAGGGGGTTGAACTTCACTGTCTCTGTTATAATCTTGTGGAGCAGATGTTAGGCCCATTTACAGGTGAGGAAATTTAAGGCCAGACTAAGCCCAAACCTGTCTGACTCTAAAACTCATATTCTCTCTACTATACTGAAGTGCTCTTTGAAGACCAGGATTATTTTGTTTTTGTAAAAATATGTGGATCCCCTCCCACCCTCCCTAATAATCTGTCTGCCAACTTGGGGGAGGGGCCTGCATCAAACCATGAGTAGATTTAACCTGTTAGAGAAATACATAGGCCTGTCAGTGCTTATGCTCACCTTTTTACTCCTGCTATGAATTTTATAATGTTTTTACTTCAGACCCACACTGGCCACTGAATTAAACAGCTATTTTCCCCAACAGAAACTATAAGAAACACAATCCTCACTTCACTGAGCTGGTGCTTGCCTTCCTTTAAAACTCAAACTCTAAATTTCACCAACTCCAGGCCCACCCCCAGGCCCCCAAACCCAAGCCCCTCTTGAGCATCACTAAGTCTCCCTTAATGAGAGTATTTCTCACATGGCACCAGGAAACAGCTACCCACCCCCAACCATGGCCGCTACCATGAAATCTCATACTTTCTGATTTTTATCTCAGCACTGGGCAAACATTGGGCACAATTTTCACTTGAAGCGAATGGATCCAGATACCCAGTTCACTTAAAGTTTCAGGGTTAACAGCACTGACTGGTAAATGCTCATCTGATTCTCTTTTAAATAAAGGCTCTTACCTCTTTTTCCAAATACACCTTCTTATCGTCCAGGGTATTATATAAAGTGAAGAACTGCTTGGTTTCTTTATGTACTGCTGAAACTATACATGCAAAAACATCAGCAAGTGAGTAAGAAAATGTTATCAAAAGCACGCCAAGCACCCTCTCCCCTTGAGGCACCCCAGCAGGACTGGTGCAGAGCTGCTGCAGGTTGACGGCATGAGGCCAGGACTGACCAGAGCCGCTGGGGTGTGGGACAGGTGGGCTTCTCTGTCCCATGCCACTTTCCTGCTAGTGTGGCTTCTCCCAACTGCCCACCCCTGTGCCCCCTTGGGACCAGGAACTCCATCTGTCCCCTTTTGTACACCATGTGCTTAGCACAGGCCCATCTCGTAGAATCTCCAAAGTATCCCCTGGACAAATGAGGGTCTATTGCAGCACAGAATACATGCCTAACAAATGTGAATTTTCTGTCCGTTCCTGTGCATGTAACTAAGGAGGGCTTTACTTACCAGGGATCTCAACATCTCTACCTATAAAATTACTCTGCAGTTCTGCCTACCCTCTCTTCTTCACTCTTCCCTACAGAATGACTTATGAAGCAAAGGCCACAAATTCCACACTTGCGAGTGCGTAGTGTTCACCAGGAAACAAGGGACTAGGTGGAGGGTTCTAACCCAGACTCCTTCTGCTTTGTGGCTGGGCAAGTCCCTGTGGCTTGAAGCCTCTCGGACTCCCTTATTGCTCTGAATTTCTGTAGTACATATCCATCCAGAGGAAAATAAAATCCGAAGACCTGGATTCATAATCGGGCTTGGAGTCTGTGCTGAGAGCTCCCACCTAGCTCTCGCTAAAATCCTGCTGCCAAGCAATTATCAGGCACTGGTGAGACTAATGGGGCTGGTTTCCCACTGGTTTTGCTCCTGGAGTTCAAATGCCTCTGGAGCATCATGGGTGGGTAGGAGAGGCAGAGCAGGACACAGGCCTACTCCACTGTTGCTGTCTTTGAACTACTGTCATTACATTTACATCTGATTCTTTAAACCAAACTTTTAACTTTGCGCAGTTCAAAGATGGGTATGGGTTGGGGATATTTGCTGCATATATTGGGAAATAGAAATTAAGAATCTGATACAAGTATTTTGATGTAGTAGCTTAAAAATGTCCCCAACATGAAAATATCTAATTTGTATGAAAATCATTTCACGAGCTACTCAATATAAAGTATTATCATGTTATAAGCATTAGAACAAAAATGCTGTGTATGAAAAAGGGAATGTCCTGGGAGCTTTTAATGTTGCAGGACCAATTATGTACGATATTCTGGAGGTGGGATTTGGATTATAATGGATAGCCAAAGTTGAAAAATCACTGCCATAAATGAAAGTTAACTTTTTAACTTCATTGCCCAGGAGTGTGTCTCTTACCTTTTTCCCATTCAGCTCAAGGACTGGATGAGAGAAACAGATACTTGGTGCTAATAAAAAACATGACATGGCTCTTTTGGTGCAACTGCTTGACAATGCCTACTGGGCGTAAACACAGTCTATCAAAATGACTTTAGCATGTATGAAATTTGATCTAAGATACAAACAGATGAAGGTAATATTTATAATTGTTAAATGTCTTTAAGTAGGCACAAGAAAACTAAGGAGATTTAAGTTAAAGTAGAAACGATTTTCTGTTGAGAAATATCATCTGCCCTTGATGATGTGAGTCAAATGTGAGACTGGTATAAAACATCAGGATGGAGGGTGATGTATTAAAGGAAGCTGGATTGTGGGCTCCAGTAAGGACCTGCTCTGGCTTGAACCTGGAAGAATGCCTGCGAGACCAAGCTCTCAAGGAAAAATCTGAAGGAAGTAGATTTTGGGAGAGAAGCTTGGTTTGCCAATGGCAGGCTGGTGGCATACTAGGCCGGCTGGCAGGCCCAGAAACTGACGCACTCAGCAGAGCTGTGAGCCACCAGGTAATGCAGGGGTAGATGCAGCTGAAGGTGATCCAGATGACACAGGACTTTGTCTGTGTATTTATGATTCTGAAGATGATCCATGAAGTTATGGAAAGCTGCTAAATATTTAAGATTTGAAAGTAGAAGAGTAGGATGACCAAGTATATATTTAAGAAGGCCATCTCAGGCAAGAGCGCAGAGTAGGGGTTAGAGAAGGTGGCAGCAGTAGTCCAGAAGGAACAAACCTGACCACGCTCAGAAATAGAACTGGCAGGGCAGCAGGAGTCAGAGAAGACTTGGTGGAATCCAGCTGAGCTAGACTGACACCAGGGACCGAGAGACAAAATGGCTTAGAGAGGCTGAATTCAGTGCTTTCTTTTTGTGTCTGAGGCAAGTAGGGGACAGGCAAGAATGTGCGCTGGTTCCTGTTTATAGAGGAGATGTGATTTGGGCCTTAATGGATTTTGTCTGACAGAAGAGGAATCTAAGAGGAGGTGTCACCTTGTGTCCAGGTGACACAAGGTGTCAAAGTGCACGGTGTGTTTAGAGGTAGTGTGGATGGCGAGACCAGAGCTGTTTGCTCCAAGCAGGAAAGGGAGTTCCAAGAGGCAACATAGGATACTAGATATAATGAGTGGTTTACTCAGCAGGCCCTGCAGAGCTCTGAAGAGTTGCTGGCAGAAGGGAGGTATGTGCAGATGAGGGGTTTGGAGAAGGGGCTGCAGATCACTGACTTGAGCTGTGACACAAGAACAGATATGGCGGTAGCAGTGGGAATAGGAACACTCGGAGCCTGAACTCCCAGCTGAGGGAGAAGCACACATCCCAGCTGAGGGAGAAGCCAGTCGTAGGTGACTGGGTCAATACAAAGCTGATAAAGGCAGGGACCATGTCAGCAAGATGTTTGTAGAGAAGACCGACGCAGGAGGACTGATCTAGCGATGTCGGGGTTATGATGTTCCATGTGAGGTTGCAAAGTGGATGGGGAGTCAAACAACTGAGTCGAGGGCTGGCTCAAAACATTACTCTAAGAGCTCTTTTTGCTTGAACAATCTCCATGGAAAGGGCACCAAGATCACTGTGGAGCTGCTCCTGGGGCTGTGGTCATCTTCAGCAGGCTATGAAGCATGAGTGCCCAATTGATAAAATGAGGCCTTTCTGGAGGTGGCTTTCAGGTATGTGCTGTGCACGCCCCACCACAATAAAGTGGGACGGAGCCCCTGGCTTCCTGTCCCTCCCTGGACCAGCCTTGAGAGCTTGTTTGTGGTCGAAGCACTTACTCTGGCGGTAGAGTTCAATAAATCTCTTCTGGTACTGTATTAGCTCGGCTCTGCTGGGCACTTCATCAATCTTGCGATGCAAAATTGCGATTTCTCGATTTCTTCGAGCCTAAATGCAAAAGGGGAGGAAAGCCAACACTACTTGGTAAAAAGCCTTAGTTTTCACTGGGAAGTCCAAATATTACCCTGCTACTCAACCTGAGCCTAAACATATGCACTGGAATACAGGCACAAAATTCTGTTGACTTGAGGTCCGTGTGATTCTGAGTGACTTTCACATTGCAACAGACAGAGGAGGTGTGGTTGTGAACAAAAGGCGTGAAATTAAAGGATCTGGAAGGAAGATTCTGAATGGGAGGAGCTTTTATGCACACAGCCCCCACTCAGCTCACTAGATCCCCAAGAACTCTGCAGCAGATAATCCACCAAAGCCAGGTAGAAGTAAGCAAGGAAAGGCTGATGACAGGGACTGACGACGCCACGCTGCTACTTCCACTCACATTCCAAATTCTTCAGCATGGCTGAGAAGCTCCCACAACTGGCTCCTAAAATACCTTTCCAGCACTTTTATCCTCCCATGAACTGAAGGTATACTTGCCCCAGTGGGCAGGATGTGGGTGCTCAGCCCACAACTGCTCCCTCCACACCCTGGTCTCAGGACAAACGGGGAAGGAGACCTCAGCCCTGCATCTCTGCCTGCCGCCCGATCCTTTCCCTCTATCGAGCTGCTTGCCTCATCACAGCAGGTATGGATCTCTAATTCATCAGGAAATACAAACCTCCAGGTGAGAAATCTACCACCAATTCTTGCAACCAAACCAATACAGGGCCTCTGCAACTCTGGGTAGAGGCCAAAATGGCTTCTGCTTTCATAAGGCTACACTCCCCAAGGGTGCTCAGGTTCCGACTCCTGTTTTGTTTTCCCTTTCCTAGGATATGATTATTTGTTCTTTTAATTATGTTTTAAAACTTCCCATTTCCACTTGCTGCTGTTTCTTAGCATTCAAATATGCTCAAGTTTCTCACTCGTAAGGAAGTCTTTCCTTTAAACTCTGGTCAACTTTCATAACCAAACTTTTTCTTCTCTTTAACAAGCTTCCAGAGAGCCAGGTAGCCTCAGTGCCTCTGACTCTTACCCCTAACAGTCTCCAGACATTATTTAACCCACTGCAGTCAGGTTTCCCAATACCCCTGAAACTGCTATGGCCAAGACAACCACAGAGCCTCTCTGGGATACAACTAACAGACGATTCTCAGTTTCGAGTTCTCTGGATGTTTAGCAACACCTGCCATTCCCTAGGCGCTCTCTACTCAGCTCCCACATACCCAGGTGGTTTCCCCAGGCCTCTAGCCTGCTGCCCCACCTACCCCTCATTGTAGATTCGTCCATTTCCTCTGCCTGTGTTTCCACTGGGTTAAGTCCCAGGGCCTCTTCCCAGCCTAGTTTCAAAGCTTTGATTATTACCTGCCTAGTGCTGACACCCAAATCTCAGCCTGATGAATCTGAGCATCAGGCCTAATACCCAAGCACTTCTTGGGCAACTCTTCTTGGTCAAGTACCCCACCTTTTACATGCCCTGAGGTGATTCCATTAACACTTCTATTCATTCTCACACTCTTTTTTAGCCCTGCGATTTGTTCTTTATGCTGTTTCTCAACCAATGACCCAATTACTACCCAAATCAGAAATCTGAGCACTATTCTTTTCTCTTCTTTTTCTCAATTGATGTTAAGTTCCATCAGATACAGCTCCTCAGTTGCCCCGTGCCCATTGCCCCGCTTGGTTCTGGCCCTCAGTCAGCTCATGTCTTCACTGCACTTTTCTCTAGCCAGTCTGAGACTAGTTCACTATCCATTTCCTTGCACTCTGATGTATATGGATATGTCCTAATTCTCAAGTAGCCAGGTCTCTCCCAGAAGATGAGCCATTCCATATTTCTGGGGCCTAATGCAAAAAGCTTCCAGGTATACAGCGGTACTATCCTGATTTTATTTAATTCCGTGCCTCTTTAAAGATAAGTACAGCAGGTGTTTGTATCAAGGACAAATCTGATTCATGTGAATTTAACCAAGCAGCTCAGCAAAATAAGCGAAAGCCAGAGATAGGAGAAACAGCCTCTCACTCCAGGGTGCCTGTGGCTCTGTGGCCTTTCTGTCATAGATAACAGAAAGGAGGACTGAGGCCAAATGCAACACATGTTAATGCTTGTTTTTATAAGCTTCCAGATCTTGGCAATGGAGGGACATCTACAATGTAATTCTGAATTACATATGATAATTGAGTTAGAACTAATTCAATTATCAACCTACCTCCAGCATGTTTGATGGCTTTCTACATCAACATCTACATATTTAAAAACTGTAAAGGCTATTAAATATGACGGCTAAAATGGTGTTTAGTTACAGAGGAAAAGTACTAGTTAAGATATCAGAACTTGTCTGACTCTTGGCTTACAGCTGCTTGACACTGGGCAAGTACTTAACTAATGAGTCAATTTCTTCAGATAGTAAATGTGGTTAATTCAATTACTTTCCACCTGGGATAAGGAACAAGCAAAAGGGGATGATTATGAAAGTAACGTATCAGTGGCAGATATTACCAACTTCTAAACTAAACCAGGGAGTTATACTTCAGACAGAAGACTGGCAACAGCAATCCTGAGTGACAGCTCGCTCTAGTTCTCAGGTAATGAGACTTTCTAGTTCTGCTACAGAACACTCATATTTAGTTAGATGTACTTCCATTGTTATTGTTTTCAAAGATTTATTTATACATATAAGAACTGGGATGTAGATTAGTGGTGCGGGGGTTGTGGGGGGCTGTGTGTGTGTATGAGGATTTACCAGAAACAAAGTGGGAAGCAGAACAGGCAGATCTACTGAAATACATTGCTGAGGGGAGCAGCAGGCAGGACAGGAGAGGTCTGCTGTGCCATGTGGGTCACTTCCCTGGTCAGGGGTTGAACTCATGCTGCAGTGGCTGGAACTAGCTTGACAACATTGAGACTTAACCACTGTGCCACTAGGGAGGCCCTGTACTTAAGTTGTTTTTACTTACCTGGAGTAAACGGATCTTGTAAAGTTTCTCTTTCTCCATATTATACCGTCTATCTAGGTCTTCCTAAAAATTGGAAAAGAACATAATTATCTGGGTATAGGAAACTCATTCTTTGATAGTCTTTTGATGTTGAATATCTTTTTTATCGTATCTTCCCCATCCTGAGTCTCCAAATTTCTATTCTTCACTGGCTGTGTTTAGGGTTTTGGTCATGAGAAATACCTGATCCTTGCATGTCAACTTATAAGAACTCTTCCTGCTGAAACCGGTGTTCTTAACTGAAGTATCTCCTAAAATGTATGTGCCCTTTCCTCCCCCCTCCTAAAAAAAAATCTCAAATTATGGTCATTACATAAAGAATCTATTATTTTTCCTTCTGTGTTTGGAAATGATGGTGGTTTGCTTTCTATGTTTCTTGTTAGGCCGTACTGTCTAACATAATGGTCACTAGCTATAAGTGGCAATTCAAATTCACATTAATGAAAATTATAATTAAATTCAGTTTCTTAATTTCACAGTCACATTTCCAGTGCTCAGCAGCCACGGTAGTTAATGGCCATTGTATTGGGCAGTGCAGATTTAGAACACTTACATCATGCCAGAAAATTCTTTTGTACAGTCATGAATTGAAATGTAAAACTAGCCCCTCTGAACCCAACAAGGTAAGAGACACAGAGAAGTGGGTTGCTGTGTCCCAGAGAGCTACAGAAGGGGTCAGAGGCGCCCTCCCTGGCACACATGTGCACACACAAAGGAAAACACAAGTCTCCTCCACAGGATTCAGCTGAAGGCAAGCCCCTCAGTTCCTATAGGGGGTCCCAAAGCTTACTCTTCTAGGAACATGTGAGGACAAGAGAGAAGAGGAACCCTAAAGGGGGCAGCTGTCTAGAGACTTCTCGGCTTTTCTTTTCCTTCTCCTCTTTATTTCCCATTTTTTCCTCAGGATGTCTGTTGAAGAGCTGGGAGTTTAACTCAGGACAGGAGTCAGAGAACAACAGCTCCTGTGCGAACTCCTACAATCCTTGTGCCAAACTTGCATTTCTGCCTATTATTTTTTAAAAAAGATTTATTTTTATATATTTATGCATATAAGAGCTGGGACATAAGTGGGTGAGAGATTTCACCAGAGACAGAGTAGGGAGCAGGACAGGTGGAGCTACTGAAATATACTGCTGAAGGGAGCAGCAGGGAGACAAGGAGAGGTCTGCTGCACCATGTGGGTCAGCTGGGGATTGAACTTGTACTGCAGTGGCTGCCGAGAGCTTCATAGTACTGAAACTAAGACTTAACCCTCTGCACTACCAGGTAGGCTCCTCCATGTTTTTGTAAAGAAAGTTTTACTGGAACAGAACCATGTCCTTTTATTTCCATATTGACTATGGCTGCTACAGAATGGCTCCCAAAGTTGAACATAGCACTCTCTGGAGCTTTACAGCTTACTAATCCTGGGATGTAGTATAACAGAGAGAGGCGTTCACGCGCTGCACACTCCCATCCCCTTGGAGTCCCAGGCTGTGACTGCCTATGTGGCCAAGGCAGGCCTCCCCCGCTTAGCTGAGCGGCAAGACTGAAGATAGCTGGCCTGTGCATGGTATTGGGAGGAAACCCATCTGAAAAGCAGCCTTCAGGATGCTGGCTGGTGTGATCTTGCCTCCACCTGAGGGACAATGCCCATTAGAGCCCACAGATGAGGTGGCCATAGAGATTATTAAAATAGGCAAGAGAAAGCACCATAGCAGAGTGCAAAGCCAGACACCACACCCCCAGAGGACAATGGCAGCCTGAGAATGGGCAGGTACTCACATTATGAGTCATCACCGTATTTAGGGCTTCAGGCTCTCCACTGGTGAGTGGCTGAAATGATAAACAGCAACAAACACCTCTTCTGAGTAAGAAAAAGGCTAGAAGCTGAGGGGATAGTTGTAGGAAGGAGTGAGGATAATGAATAATTCATCAACTGTGTATGAATAGAGAGCAGAAATGAAATTTTAAATTGTTTTTAAATGTCTGTTGGCAATACACACCAAGCCTAACTGTTTTTGAATGCGAAGAGCAACCCTCTAACTAGCTGTGACTGTTAAGACTTGTGAACCTGAAATCTGATCTGTACCAACTCAGGTTGACAGGGCTGATGATCTGAGTCCCTGAAGGCTCAAAGTTTTAGCAACAACTGGAGAAGTAGAATGATGATGGTGCTGGACACCACTCTACTCTGTCCCTGCGCCAGTTACCGGGGTATGAAGAGTTGCGAGGACTGGCTGAGCTGACACAGCCCTGTCATGCCAGGGAGGGGGCAATGCCAAGCCTGTCTCACTGCAGACGGGGTCTCGTGGGGTCCTGCAAAGCCAGAGTGCTGTCTGTCCCCAAGCAGAGGGGCACACAGACTGGTGCTGGGTGACTCAGATGAGTTGATTCCCTGCCTGAGCCTCAAGTACCCCTGTATGAGGGAGAGGAAGCCACCGATGGGTCTGGGCTATCTTCAGAGCCTACATCAAGCTCAGGGAGCCCAAGATGTTAGCTTTGAAGTTTGAGAAAACAAAAATATAAGAATCTCAACATGGCAATCTAATTTGGTAAGAGAAATCACCAATGGTGGGTTTTTTCCCCCCTTTCCTTGAGCCTGTTGTTGCTTCATGGAAATGCACACAAACTCACTGGGAGCTGATATCCTTTGTTCAAAGAGCCAGCTGGTCAGATGTGTCCCCTAAGAATGCTCTGCATGGCTAGGGTTTAATATAAAGCTTACACTGTGATCTTTTCTGTGCCTCCTTTAAGGATAAGACACATCCCCAGGAAGGAGGGGAGGGGGAAATGAGTAAACTGACACAAAGATCAGAGAAAACACTGAATGGGAAAGGGCCCAGGCAATTCCTGGAAACACCACTTTCCTAAATGCAGCAGAGGCCAGAGTTATAATCTGGTAATTCCTGTCTGGGGTGCTGCTGTCTACAACTACTGCCTTTTTTTTTTTTTTAAGATTTATTTTTGTTTATTTACACATACAAAAGCCTGGGCATGGGCCACAGATGTGGGGGTGGGTGAGAGGATTCATCAGAGACAGAACAGGTGGATCTACTGAAACACCCTGCTGAGGGGAACAATGGGCAAGACAGGAAAGGTCTGCTACACCTTATGGGTCAGCTCCCTGGTGGGGCATCAAACTCACTGTGGGCCTTTTATACCACAGAAGGGAGAGAGAAAACAGGGATGGAAATTTAAGAGACTCATGTGATGAACATTTAAAAAGTGTGTGCTCAGAGAACCAGGAAAAGAACAAGGGCCAATCCTGTTTAGCACCTGCTGTCTACTGGTTAGTCCCCTAGAAGTCTTTCCACTGTGTAAGTCCTAAGGGCCTCTGAGGGTCTCACAGACTCCTTTAGGGTGTTACCTTTTCACCTCCGCCTGGCGCTCTCTCAGCTTTTAGGTTTTCGATTTCTTGCTGCAGCCTTGTCATCTCCTCCTTTAAAAGTGATATGAATGTTTACAAATCTGGACAGACTTATAACTGGACACAATTACTCCACTAATTTTCATTCTGTGCACACATGCTAGAAAAGTCCACTAGCAATTAGTAATCAGCAACCAGTAACCCTGACTCCCAATTTTTAGCCTTGGAAAAATGTGAGTTGGGGGGCAGGTTACGGAGGGCTTTATATTTCTAAAGGGCCACAGTGAGGCACACAGTGATTACTGGGACATGATATGAGCATAGTCTAGAGCCTCCCTAGTTCCAAATGGCCTTCTTGGCTTCCTCTCTTCGCAAGGTGTCCTTCCTAGAGCTCACTAACCATCTCCTCTACTTGCTAATCTTGCCCAGCTTTAAGGAAAATACTGCTTCTGGATGGTTCTTGTGCCGTAGCAGCCTCTCCTCAGCTGGGGCTCACACAGAACTTTCCAGATCACTTGTGCACGCATCACCCCACCATTACATCATGTGTTCCCCAGAAAGCAGGAACTGAGGCATGAACAGGATCCTGGTTTCATATGATTTTATTCTTTTTATATTGCTCTTTTAACTGCACTTATAAAATGAAAAATATTGTTAGACTATGCTCTCAAATTGAGGGGTTGCACAGATAGCTACTAACCTAATTTACAGCTGACACCTAAGAGGGTCCCCACCACAGCACTCTACCCACCTTGCACAACTGACACATAGCTGCTGGGTGAATCAACTCTTCCATTGGATGGGATGACCCAGCAGGACAACAGGGATTTTACCAAAGTCCCAGTTTAAAGTCTATCTGCCCACACTTGGCAAACTTACTCGACAATGTGCTTTAAACTCCTGTTCCTGGCTTTTCAGATTCTCATTCATGGCCACAAGTGCTCTCAAGTTCTGCAGGATACTGAAGAGAAAAAGACCATAAAATGGCACACTGCAATTTTATGATTACAATGAAAACCAAGTCCCCAGCTAGAAAAGACTACCTTTTGCCTCTCTCAAGAGTGTCTAATGGGGTCTTCACAGATGTAATGGCTACTGTTTAATTGATACTCTCTTCATTTATGACCCATCAGGCAACAACCAAACAAACATGACAAATCTCAGAGTTAAAATGTCAACTGCAGAAACATCACTGATTTTCAAGAGTACAAGATATACTCAATGATTTCAGCTAGTTAATAACATTCAGAGCATAGATAATACATTAATTACATGTTTAATTTCCATTTTGAAAAGGAAACAAGCTGTGTGAATCAGTAAAAACATTAATTTGAAAATAATAATGTGAAGTAGCTGATGGTACTTTGCTCCACATCATGAAAGAAGGATTCCCAGGTAAGAAATCAGATAATCTGTAGTAACATTTTTGCTTAAAATGTCTATCAAACTCAGAACTGCTTAGTCTGTGCCTGAAACTTTTTATGATTTCACATCTCCTGCAAATGAATGACACCTAGGTGCTCTTACCATCCATCCAGTTTGTTCCTGGCTTTTCAGATTAATGCTAAATATAAATGCTTCTTGTATTTAATTTAAATGTCTAAGTCAATTAATTTTTAAATGGAAAAAAAACAATCATGCATCTGTATCTTAGCAAAAACTGCAACTTTTGTCCTGAGGAGACATGGCTAAAATGTATGCTATTAAAAAACTGGCACCAATGGTTAACTCCAGGGGTGAAGGGAGGGTGGGGTAGGAGGGACACATTTCATCCTATTTTGTACTGTGAATGCACTACTTTCCCTATCTGCTGCCCCCCATTTTTTTTTCCGTTTTAGTGATTAAAACTTTATTTTTATTTATTTATTTATTTTTTTATTTTTACATCATTTTGTATATATTTTTTTCCATTTCAATTGTAATCCCCGTGGGTTTCCCCCATTTTTTTAAAGGTTTATTTATTTATTTATTTATACAGAATTGGGGTACAGGCCAGAGGTTCAGAGGTGGTGAGAGGATTCACCAGATACAGAGCAGGGAGCAGAACAGGCAGAGCAACGAGGTACACTGCTGAGGGGAGCAGCGGCCGGGCCAGGAGAGGTCTGCCACGCCATGTGGTCACCTCCGAGGTGGGGGATCAAGCTTGCACTAAGGCAGCTGTGGCCAGCGTGTAGTACTGCTTCCTAACCCTTTGCGCCACCAGGGAGGGCCTGCCGCCCCCCCCCCCCCATTTTAAAAAACAAAAAGGTTGAAAAAAAAAAAAACCAAACATCCCAAAACCATGATCTTCCTGCTTCTGCCGCTGAGGGAGGAAAGAAGAGGCTGTTAACTCAGGGCAGCCGGGCGGGTCATATCCTGGGTCAGTATGGGAAACTGACCTTGCAGGGTCAGAAGCATGACCCTGGGCTCTTCATTTCTGTGCCCAAAGAAATTAAACCAACAGGTACTGGCAAAGTTGCTTTCTTCAAAGAGAAATAAAAACAACCTGAAACTCTCACCTTGGGTCAGCTTTGGATTCTATCTTCTCGAGGGCTGCTTGTTCTTGGTCCAGTTTCTCACTGTAACTCTTCAGCTGCAAAGGAACAAAGGTCTCGTTATGGACACTTGATAATAGAGAAGAGCAAGTACTTCCGTTCTCCTCCCCCTAATGCCCACCTGCACCCCCATTCTGACAGGTGGCCAAGCAAACTGAGTTTGGTGGCACACTGAAAAACAGGTGGACAGGAGAAATAGAATGGGAATGGCACCTTGTTGTGCAAGGGTGAGATGGTTCACTTTGTCCAGTTCTTGCCTTGAATAGGTAAGAAAGTTGAGGCCTAGAGGTGAAGCCCACTACGTCTTTAGGGGCCTGATCTTTTGTATTACATCAAACCAAGCTTCTTTATCAGCTGCTCAGTACTAGATTTTAAACAGCTTCCCACTTGACTGCCAGCACGGGAACCCTGGCATGGGTTCTTGGCCTTGCTCATCAGAAAACAAGGCTGATAACTATGTTGCTAGGGCTATTGTATAGATTCAACAGACTAATCCAAGAAATGTGCTTAGAGCTCACCCAGCACATGCTAATTCTGGCTACTAATATTATTTGTGTGTAGAAAGATTATTCCTTAATCTTGACTTAAACTATATTCTCTCCTTTCTAGCACATGAAAGGGCCTCAACTAATACTCGATTTAGTGTTCAGCATAAAAAGTGACTTGATAGCTACTGAGCAGTTATATCCTAAGGCAAATGAATTATCGTAGGACATTGATAGCCAGACATTTTGCCTTTAGTCTCTTTCAGACTGTTATATGAAGTCCAATCCATGATGTGGCAAATTTCATGTTGGGGACTCAGTAACACTGCAAGTAAGACAGCAGCAGGGACTGAATTCCAGGTATTTACCATCTAATACATAAGCAGTGCTGTCCCAGAACAATATAAACAAAGCTGATCTGTCCAAATGCTACACAAGCATCTCTATGAAGAATTTTTTAAAAAGTCACTAATTCTTATGTCTGACTTTTTTAATGTTGAATATAACTGAAGAGACTAGCTCATGTCAGAATTACTTACTCTGAAGGCAGAGTAAACTAAGTGTTTACTTACTCTGAAGGCAAAGTAAACTAAGTGTTACATATTGCTCTAGAGGTTGGAATTTTAAATGGTTAAATTCCAGTTGAAATAAAAAAAAAAATAGGGCAAGAATAGGGCCTGCCTTGGTTCCAGAAATGTCTCTGAACATCAGTCCTGCTTCTACAGGATTCACAAGTACTCAGCAGGGCTCTGGTATGGAAGTCTTGTGGAGAGCAGCTGCAGCCCCAGTGCCAAAAACCAAAATTACAGGAGGGGCTTTTCCGATCCTGCTGACGATAAGACAGCTTTCTATAGAAACCAACAGAAACACCGAAATGCCCCTCATGAGACAGCTGGCATGAGAGGTATTTGTTTTCCTTGCTCAGTTTCCTAGGCAACCAGAAGTGGGAGGTAAATAATATAATACTGATGTGAGCTGACACACTTGCAACCAGAGTTAGAAAATGGATCCGTGGTTCAGAATATACTAACAACCTCTTCCTCTTCCTGAAACTCTTTCCCCCATTTCACCTAGGAGATAATCTGCAATTGTGAACAACAAATAACAGCCCTCCAGATCCTCAGGGACTTGCCCCTGTGAATTGAACCCACTGCAGATTTAAAATACTTATGCACAGACTTTTCTTCTCACTATTCTCCAGACAGTACAATATAACCCCTTTTTACATAGTATTTAAATGTACTAGGTATTACAAGAATCTAGAAAGTATTTTAAGTATACCAGAGATGTGTGCAGGTCACCTACTAGTCCCGTTTTTGATAAGGGACTTTAGCAGCTGAAGATCTGATTTCCTGGGGGATCCTAAAACTGAGGAATCACCAAATATCACTCAGTGGTTTTTCTCATCTTAGAAAAAGAAACTTTCTTACTCTCAAGAAAGTCAGTATTTCCGCCCTAGCCTACCACGTGATGCTTGAAGAGCAGTGGACAGTTTCTGTGCAGCACCATTCCTATTCCTCTGTGTGGCTCCCTGTCCTCTCCCTCAGGAGAGGTGCTTGACCAGGGCAGCCCACAGAGCTGTCTCCCACCCAAATCACTGATGGTATAGACACCCAACCGCACGGTCATAAACTACCACATGGCTGACTGAGTCCCCAGATGGACCTGAGCCCTGAAAAGGGAACCAAGATGCTTCCTCACAGATGGATGATTCATGGTGTAGTGACAGCAAAGAAGGTCAAAAGCGATTCAGAACAAAGCATAGTAGGAAGGAAAATCTGCTCACCTCTGTCAGTGTTTTCTTGGTTTCGTTGTATCTGGCTTGCAAGCTGGAATGACTTGTCTGAAGCTGTATATGAAGAGATAAAAAATATCTGCTCTCACTTGATTTTCACAACAACACAGATGTGGGTAGTATCTCCATTGTATAAAGGAGAATGTGGAAGCTCAGAAATACTTACATTGGTGTAAGTGTGGAGCTTTAGAAAGGTTACCAACAATAAATGAAGGAACAAAACACATTAGCATCAACTATGTGTGATATACTTGGTATTTGGGTGTAAATCCTACAACTAAATGCTTACAGTCAATGGAAGACATTATTCTTACTACAAAAGAGGAAACAGACTCAGAGGGGTTAAGTTACTTGACTGAAGTTTCATAATAATATGAATTGAGAAATGATACCCATAATAACTGACACACCAGGATTCAAGTTCAGGTTTGGCTTTTCTGTGTGCCTACAATCAATTCAGTTAACCAACTTGCCTATTCATAGGACATTGACTATGTCAGTACTCACAATTCTAGCTCAGACTATGACTGGTTGGCAAACAGAGTTAGACAGAGGAAGGACTAAGGACTTCAATACTATGAAAAAGAATTATCATTACTATTCAGAGTTCCATAGTTGTAAACTTACATTTCAAAAACGTCATTTCCCAGTCCTTTACTGAAGAGGGGCCTCCTTGTGCTATGTGTGAACTTCCAGAAATCTAAAAACATTCTATTGGAAGCTCAATGGAATCATACAATTCTACTTTTAAAAAGGGGGGAGAGCAGAAAACCACCATCAGATTCTCTGGTTATTTCCAACCTACAAATTAACAATTAGTTTTATCATATCTCTCAATGATTATTTGATTATAATCCTTAAACCTCTAAGCAATTTAGTAAAAAGTTGTGCCTCCTTCACAAATCATTACTCCTAATGTCGTGTTTCTAGTTACCAGTCTTCATGACTGATAAATAGTTACCTTCCAACAAGGACTACCAGGAAGACAAGTGAAGCAGAAAGTAGACATGATAAAGGAGTGAAGCACGTGGCCACCAGCTTCTCCTGCTCAAAGGGAGTTGTCTGTGCAGTGAGGACTGCTAATAATCTGTGTGACTGGTAGATGGGAATATTCCTAGAGAAAATTGGTTTTTCTCTTGATACTCTTGTGATTGAGCTCCTGAAGTTGAAACTGGTGGTGGTGGTGGGGTGGGGGTAGGAGAGTAGAGCACTGGAAAAACCTACAGACACAAATAGAGGACAGGTCAGGGGACAGGTTGGGAAGAACCCACTCATCCATGAAGAGAAAGCAGGTTAAATAAATTTTAAGGTATATGTATACTTTGTCGCACTGTGAAGTCATTAGAAAGAATGAAATAGATTTGCAACGTTTGTGAAAATGATGTTGGTTTTTAAACCTTCACGAAATATTCTTCTCTAGGCTTATGAGAACTATTTTAAGCTCTTGTTCCTTCCATTGGCATAAAATGTGGTTCACAGAAAGGGCATTTCTATTTCTATTTGCATTTTATCCTTGATGCAATCTCTTTATGTATATTTTTATCATCATCTGGGATCCATAACTCACTGTAATATGGGACCCTGGGCAAATCTCTGCCACTTTACCTCATTCTCCTCATCCAGGTGGCCCAGCTACATACCTGTCAGGGATGACTATAGATTCTGGTCATCTTTATTCTAACCATCACAATAATGGTAGTTGTCCTTTACTATGCAGTATGCCAGAAAAATAATAGGCTATTGGCAAACACAGGTTCTGAACCAATTGCAAAACAGTCTTGAGAGAAGATTATTCTTTTAGATGGAGTAAGAATATGCCAGGATTGCCACTGGAACATGATTCAGCTTTCCTTCTACCTAGTGAAGACAGAAGGTATAGCAAACATCTACACATGCCGAGACACTGGGGCTCCTGAGGTCTGTAATATCCTCAAAACTATCCTCTCTCAAAAGACAAAGATATGTGAAGAAGCCTCATCTTTGACTCATTTTGATTGTGATGTACTCCTTTTTGAAACAGTATCTTTCATATTCTTGTCACTGGCAAGGGTCAAGAGGGAGATGATACTTTGAGAATTAAAATGTCCAGACAAATTATCAATCAAAAAGCAAACTACAGTCTCTGTATCCTTGCTTGGTATGTTTGGTTTTGGCCCAACAAATTCCAGTAGAGAAATTCAAACAAAGCAATGACTGAGCAAGATCATTTGATATATTTATAATTCTTTTATATGAGGGACTTGAAAGGATGACAATTGTACCAATTCAAAATGTCAAGTGATACCAAATTTTGGAAATCAATTGTTATAGGACTCTTGGTGATTTGTTTTTAAGAAAACTATATTCATTTCCATAATCGTTCCTAAATGTATTTTTCTTATTAATTAAATTTCATTGACAGTATAGCTGAAGCATTTAACATTTTTTAATCTTCTAATCACTATTCCCGAATGAAACTTCAGTTTCTTATGTCAATTTCCAAGGGCAAATATATGAAGCATTTTTTGAAACAGTCTCACTCATCACCATGTATTACAGAATACCACTGTCTAAAACTCTCTTATGAAATGATATGGTTTCTTCCATTTTTCCTGTTACAACTAGTCAAAACCATTAAAAGCTTATGCTCAGGCTAATAGGTCAGCTTTCTATTCTTGCTCATGCCCAAGTATCTTGCATTCCCACAGCAAACAGAATGGTGTTTGAAACATGCAACACTGGTCATGCTTCTCTCCTACTTAAACCCTCCAACAGTTTTTACTCCTGAACATGACTTTGTCTAATAATACTCTACTAACCAGCTTCCTTACTCATGACAACAGCTACACAACAGAAACTGGACAAGGCCAATCCTATCCCAGGTCTGAGTGCATGTTGTTTTCTAAGTCCCCGCCCAGGCCTCCCACGTAGTCTTCCTGCCCAGCCAAAATCTACTCAGTCCTCTGTGACACAAGGTCAGGTCTCCCTATCACTTACTGTCTCAGCTACCTAGACTAGTTCTTCTAATACTATCACAGTGGTAACTGAACAATGACACGTGTGACATTACTGCTTTAAAATCTCTGAGAGCTGGGATCAATAACTTGTTCTGCATTCATCCCCACAATTTAGTTGTGTCTTGCACATAGTAGTCTTAGTAAATAGTGTGAATCAATAAGGGCTATTGTTGCTTTGTGATCACCTTCTAGAACAGAGATTGGCAGGCTACTTCTGCAAAATGTTTTAGGTTTTGTTGGCCATGTAGTCTCTGCTGTGACTACCTAACTCTGCCACTGGAACGTGAAAGCTGCCACAGAAAACATGTCAACAAATGGATGAGTCTGTATTCCAGTAAACACATGACAAAAATGGAGGTGACTAGATTAGCCCCAGGATCATAGCATCCCAGGCCCTCTTCGGGAGGCACCTTGACCTTTCTATTCTGTCCCCAATTTTTCCCTTCCTGAAGAATAGACATTTAATTGAGTCAAATTATCAAAAGAAACACAAACCTCTTCTAGATGTTTAGTTTTTTGCAGAATCTGTTTGTTCAAGGAGATGACTTTCCGTCGATGGAGCTGGGAGGTTCCTAGTTTTTCTGGACTGTCTTCAGTTGACAGCTCAGACTGCTATGGGAAACAGAGAGGGAAAAACCAAGTAATTTAATTAGTCCACTCGGTTCATGTAAGACAATGACCTGGCTTAGGCTGGGCAGTCAGAGACAATTAAGCCAGTACAGCCAGTGAGTATTGAGGAAAAACCCAGGTGCAAAAAAAGATTCAGACAGAATGCTCATAGACCCTATCAACAGACCAAATCCCTCCCAGAGGCATGGGAATATGTAACTGTGGTTACAGCATGTAGCTAGTAGGGTACCATCCAAGGGTCATAAACAGGAAAAACATGGTCATTTTAAATCATCATGACACCATTTGAGACTTATTAAGAATGATGAGTTGATTCATTTTCATTCACGTATAATATATGGTTAAAAAGTATAATCATTACAGCACTTATAATGAAAAAAAAAAAAAAAGCAACAACCACCTCCCAACATTATTTCTCCACATCTATTTTTTTTTTATTTTTTTTTAAAGATTTATTTATTTGTGCATACAGAACTGGGGTACAGGCCAGAGGCTCAGGGGCGGCGAGAGGCTTCACCAGAGACAGAATGGGGAGGAGAACAGGCAGATCGAGGAAATACACTGCTGAGGGGAGCAGCGGGCGGGTCAGGAGAGGTCTGCCACGCCATGTGGTCACCTCCGGGGCAGGTGGGAATCGAACTCATGCGGAAGTGGCTTTAGATTCTCAGTGCTGTGCTCTAACCCGCTGCGCCACCAGGGAGGGCCTCTCCACATCTACTTTTACCATGTCTTATTTCTGTTTTTTTTTCTGGTACTCACAGATGATATATCTGGGAGAGGTAAAAGTTGCTAGGAGGCCACTAGGAAATGCCTGAAAACTGTGTGAGAAGGAATTTGAAAAGGGTTGGTGAGGACATAGATACTGTCAGAACTGGGAATAAGGGGGTGATTTTCTATTGGGGGTGGTGAGGTGGCTGTAACATTACTAAGAAACCAAGTAAAAAAAGGAAGCAGCTTGATATATACTCCAGTTACAAACATTTGCCTTATGAACCCTTGTGAAACTTCAAGAAAAACAAGAAGATTGACTCTGTTGTAACATGTGCACTTAAAATACATCTTGGTGATTGTAGATTGCTTTATTAACTGGTCAGATACCTATCATAGCCACATTCCTTTTTTTACTGGCTGATCCTAATTTCAGGATAGTTTGATTTTAAACCCAAGAGAAAAAACTAGTTGGGCATTTGATTTTTGCAATAAGTCTTCACAGTGACCACATATTTGAAAGACAGATTTGCTGAGGAGGTAAATAGATAGGAAAGTGAGGAGGAGGAGAAATAAAAATGTACAGCCACCATTTATTCTGGTGAAGGTTTTCCCTAAGCAAGTCAGCAGCATTACTAACAGATGACGACTTCTTTTTGCTTAACAACAGCCAGCAGGATGTGCCTGCAGAAAATGGTAAGAGACACCTTTTTTTTCTGTCCATAGACTGGTAGACCATAAAGGAATTAGAAAAACTAAACATTTGGTATTATAACACAGCTGGCCATGAAAAAGTTAACTAACATATTCAAGCTTATTTGGATTTCAAATTATTTTTAAAAGTACAATTAACTTTGTACATAAGGTATTTATAATTTAAAGTCTGAGGAACTAAAAATATGAGAGTATGAGAAAAAGAGGAAAGGAAAGATCATTCTCTTTAGATTTTCAAATAATTTGTCAGAAACAGAATTGCCATTAATTAATTTCCTTAAGTGTGATGGCACCAACCCAAATTGTATTATTTGGTCACTACTGTCTTCTATATATTTAGCAATACTTCTTATACTTACTTTCAGATTTGTGTTTTAACATTTAAGGTTCCTTGACAATGATTTCCAAAGTGTTACTGGCATATCCTCAAGAGCATTTTACTTTAGAGCACAATCACATATATTTTCTATCTCACGATTTACTGTTATCTAAAACACAATTACCTCCCCAGTCACTAGAAATACCTCCTTATTATATCTCTATTGGTGGTCAGGATTATCTGAGTCCCTCAACCTTTTCCAGCTGCCTTTCTGGCTTTGGCAATATACACCAAGGAATTCACGCCTCGCTCACCTCCCAGCTTTCAAGGGTAAGTGCACACCTGTTTAGGTTCATTCCACATCTTTGGTATGAGTTGGGTAGGGTGATATCTCCAACTCTTGGTGGCTTCTTCTACTGGTTTAGCTGCTTTTCATTATCCCAAAGTAATGAAAACTGCATTTGCATCCAGCATCCACACTCTCCATCTGTATACTAAGCTCATTTGACTTTGTTTTAAAACTGACTTTCATCTCTTCAAATCTGCTTTGCAGGAAAGCCAATAGCTATTTTACCTGGAAAGAGTTTCCAGGCTGACAGTTTATCTCTTTCTCATTCTTTTCCTAATATCATTCACCCTCTCACTATCACAATTAAAATTTTTGCCACCTGGTCTCTCAAGATTTTTTCAGGGAGGGTCTTTAGTGTCAATTCCTTTTCATAATACTAAGATATCATATTTTTTCCTCCCATTATTTTATAGCGAAAATTTCAGATGTCACATGTGAAATCACTGCTCTGATGTTAAAATGTAATATACTTGTTATTTGTAAATGATCAACACACAAACCATTGGGAGCGCAGTAATTTTTTTTTTATTTAATATAATAGTTTATTTTTACATAATTTTGTGCCTTTTTCCATTTCAGTTGTAATCCCCATGGGATTCCCATCACCAAATCACCATAGTCCAGTGCACTTCCCCCCACCCGATTTTTGATGGGAGCTCAATAGTTTTTAAAAGCTCTCAAAGGGTCCTGAAACAAAATTTTGAGAACCACTGTTACAAGGAGTCTGGCTCTCTTGGGAATCTATTCATTGACTGGGACAGCCTCATTAGCACTGAGTTCTAAGCAATGGAGTGGACCTACCCATCAACTATATTGAGAGGGAAAAGTTCTTTTTGATTCCATTCTTTCACTAGCCAGCTGATTCAGAGCACATACAGAGAGCAAATGCTCACAAGAATCTTGAAGTCTCTACATTTACTATTATATCTGTATAATGAAAAATGTTTCAAGCAAATATGAGCTTTCAAAATCCTTTCTTTTATTGCTTTATTTTATTTCTCATTGCTTTGTGGAGTCACTTAAATTCACACCTGCAAAGAAATGTATAATAATATCAGGATTGTAAGTGCCATTTCCATATTTGACATTTCTCCAGTCCAACTCAAAATGAGTAATATGCATATGAGCAGGCCAATAATATATATTTCTATCTGTTTGAGTCTGAAATGGTGCTACATAAACTTTTATTTTTAACATGAGACGTAATTTTGTACAGATAAAATTGTTTATCCTGGAGCTAAGCTGAAAAGAGTTCTTAATCTACTCAACAGAAAGCTGATTATTCTGTTTTATTAAATAACCTAAATTTTTCATTTCCTTCCAACACATTCCTCAAAGCCATGAGTACTGGGCAGTTGAGGTGGAAATAGGTCTTTAAAACAGTATGGCTCATCTGATAGTCTCTCCACTGACAGTCACATTAGGAAGGGAATTGAAGATGACCAAGTTGGCTCTTGAAGGGTAAGACAAAGGTTGAACAGATGGAAAATGGAGGTGGGGGGGCTTTATAGTAAAACCTGGACAGAAAAAAATGTAAACCCTCAGGGCATTTTAGCTTGATTTCTACTTAAAAAGTGCATCTCACAGAGTGCCAACCGTCTACAAATATTTCATTGTGTTTACATTGGAGCAAGGGCTTAAGTGCCAATCTAATTTTGTTCAACAATTTCAGATTAAAAACGTGCTTTCAAAACCACAGTGTGGATTAAGATGACTTCTAGTGCAGATTTAATGTTTTCTAACAACTGACAGATATTTGCAACTTCTATTCTTAGGGGAGTATGATTTAAATGTCACTCTAAAATATTATTCTGGTGCAAAATAGTTAATTCCTAAGAGAAACAAAAAAATCATTACACTTTGGCTATAACTATATACTTTTATAATGAAAGAGACCCAAAAGGTTATCTACATATCAATTTTCTTCCCAGTATAAGAACCTATTCCACCTCACCCCCTCCCAAATATAGTCACCAAGCTGTCAAACATAAAGGATGCCTGGCTCAGGAGGATGCCTGAAGTCCTCTACACTGAACAGACTGACTTGAGTTTCTGGCACCTTGGTGAATTATACCACTGAAAACAAACAAACAAACAAAAATAGACAATAAAAATACATATTTTTAAACACTGAACAAAATCTATGAGCTAGAAAGAATGTAAAACAAAGGCTGGAAGGTTAAATGTTAGTGAAAAGTGGGACTCCAGGAAGGTATGCGTACCCACTGAAGTCAATCTTTATTTTTGAAAGTATTGGCCAGGACTAGGTGGTCTCAAGCTTTGAATTTTACAATCCGACAACTGCTTTGCATCAACCTTGACACAGCTGTGAGAGGGGAAAATCTACAATGAGATTTTGATATGAGATTGATCCTCAGGCACATCTGCAATCAAAATTCACACATACTATCTGGATGGTCCAAAACCTACAAGTCAACACTGGTGTACAATGGACATGACCTGGGGTGTCAGTAAACTCTGGAAGGAGCCAGAGCAAATTGTATCTGGAAAAACAGAACTCTAGGCCTCAAAGAATTTCTATAGAAACATTTTGAAAGAATACAAGCTCACAGTCAAAAATCAAAACACACAAAGTGTCCTTAGCAAAAACATAGACAGATAGCAGAATGAGACCTGACAAGATTCGAACATACACATACTCATTCCTCTCCAGAACAACAGAGTTCAAGTGTTATCATTCTTTCACACAACAGTTCGATCAATCTTATCCAGAAACATCCACAACTCTTTCCTTTTCCTTTCTGTAATAAGATGTCAGTACCATTCACTGTACTGGCTGTTAGCTTCCAGATACATGTTAGCTCATAAGTGACCTTTTTGAGCATTTCCAACGGAATTTGAACACAGCAGACATGATGATCATCCACTTTT